TTTTCAATTTTAAGAATTTTTTGTGTCGAAACTATTCATAATTGGTCGAAACAGTTTTCATGTCCCTATCTTAACTTTTCACGTACTATCAATGGATATTTAGTTGAAATAGATACAGGGTGGACGAAAATCTTAATTCTGAACCACCCTGCTTTTATTTCAATTAAATATCAATGGATAGTACATGAAAAGTTAAAGAAGCTCTCTACTGGTGGTTAAAGTAGGTACATGAAAACCATTTTGACCAATTATGAATAGTTTCAACATGAAAAATTCCCAAAGTTGAAAAATCTCGATTTTTCACATCCCATAACTCTGTAATTATTACTGCTAGACCCCAAGTGTTAGAGGTCAATGGAATTAGTTCTTCAGGAAGAATCTGAAAATGGAATGATATACAGGGTGTCCCATCTAAAAAATCAAAGTTGTTGCTATTTCTGGTAAGTTTGGTAATTTTCACAGTTTAATAGTAACTTCAGGCACCGAACATAAACAGGTGACGGACCTCCACCTAATAATAATCAATTACCTATGTTTTCAATCAAGTAACTTCCCAACCGCCCATTCAAAACCGCAAAGAATCAATGCTTCAACAAATCGAAGATAATAATAGCTAATCCTCGAGCTAATCGGTCACTTATAGGAACTCGAACTCACCTCAACAATCCGAAAACAAAAAACAATGAACTCTGGCAAATTAACCACCGGTCACGAACTGATGAGGGGTCCGCGTTGCATTTTTTTCTGTGCAAATTAAAAGCCGACTGCGATTGGCAACTGACGGAAAAGGGACTGCACGCGGCAACCGATCTGTTAACGAACGTAGCGTTATCCGACATGAACAGTTCTTACGGGACTTTTCTTCGTTCTTCGGCTCAACAATCTCTATGTTGCAGTCGCTGGCGCAAAGAAAAAGAAAAGCCACCGTTTTAGTCCTTTTACTGTTCAATCTTTACATCGATTCACTCCGGACTCCGGAATTCTATCAAACAATGCAAAAATCTCTGTCTGATGAGAAACAACCAGAAACAACCAGAAACAACTGTTATGAACGACCACACTGTTCTCTGTTATACCATACAGATTACCTATGATCATGATCATACAGTGTGTGATATACCATAATAATGTGAAAGAAAAATTGAAATATTTATGTGTCCAGCCAATCAATTTATCATCATTTATTAATTTATTATAGGTATACTTGAGAGGACAATAGAACTGAAACCACCTGGAACTTAGTAGATAGATAGTTATATATAGGTATATACATTTATTAATATAATTATTCTCATGATCCCATCTTGAAAACGAGTCTTAATATTGAAGGTGATAAAACGAATGGTTGTGAATTAGAGTCCAATTGAAATCTTTTAGCATGTCTTCTTGCTTTGCCCTAGCTCCGGTTTGTTCGGAAATGACCCTAACTTTATAGTGTTTTGAATGGGACGCCCTGTATCTTATTCCATAATCGGTTAGGGATTATCATAACAAATTCAAATTGGGAGTCGGACAGTTCGGTACACCGATCAGTTGGACCACGACCGTTCTTCGAGCGGATTAAGGTTGTATTCTAAGAATTAAAACAATCACTATTTTCTTGAAATAATATGTTATTTATCATTGAGGTGAATTATAATGAGACATACTTTTGACAAAATCTTTTTGTGATAAAAGGCCATTTCTTTATTCTGATATCTTAGCTTTGATAAAATCTTTTTTTTTCCGTGTTGCACACTTTTAGTTTCTTGAAGGAACATCTTACGGATATTATATTAATATTTGTTTCTGCTTGAAAGTTCATTGAAATATTTACAAAATTAAACAAACTTGGGTGAAAACTATAAAAACTAGAATTAAAATGAGAATGAAATGATTCACACGCGTTTGTGGTCCTGTACATATACTATCTGTAGTACATACAAGCCCACATACTTGGGGGAAAATTACTTCCTTCATCGATATAAGTTTCCACGATTTAATCGCAAAATTTCGATAGACTTGGATTACTGGGCATTATTGAATGAATTTCTTCAGAAAAAAAGTTTCCTACTTCATGAGGGTCCAAAAATGGAAAAGGTTGATTCAGGCTGAATTAGGTTAGATTGTTTAGAAGAAGTAGTATTCCTTGTTCCCTCGAGCAATTCATCGAAGAATATACTTTTTAGGAAGGATTATTTAGTCCGAGTTGGGTTAGATTGTTTTGAAAAAGTATAGCCTTTTTTGCTATCTCAAGTAATATTCAGAAAAATATTTCCTAGGAAGGAGGTTCATTTAGGCCGAGCAAGGTTAGAATGTTCAGAAAAAGTAGTCTCCTTCCTTATGCAGAAAGGATATTTCTTCAAATCCATTTTTGTTGCAGTTACACTTATTTAACAAACTAAATTAACTAGATACTTATGAAGGATAATTATGCTTACTAGAACGTTTGAACGTTACTGGAAGAATTTTATTAGGTAAATCGATTAGAATAAAATACAATTTCAACCTGGTCGAACTGCAGGGTAGGCTTAACTCGACCTTTTTCAAAAAAAGGATTAATACAGGTACTCGCCGTGGTCCAACTGACCGGTCCCCTTCAAATTGTACCGGGTTTGATATAGGGTTTATTTCAAACGATTACGAAGATATTATTAGCAATCGAAGTTTCCATATGCTCAATGTGTGTGACAGAGAAAGTAGATTCGATATATTGTGCCGTCACACACATTGAACATATGGAAAATTCATCTACAAAAATCTTCTTAGCCGTAAGCGTTCGAAATAACCCTATCAATTTCGTTATCCCTACCCAGCGAACACAGTTACATCTTAAAGATGTTCTTGCGATGTCTTATCTATAGGCCAATGATGTCCCATTGTAAGTCACGAGAATGTAGGAGTTATATCCTCGCGACTTACTTTTGTCACACTCATGTTTTCTGGCTCATGTCGACATCTAATATATGTGATGTAGTTCTGAGACGTCGCAAAGATGTCTCCTAATTACTACCAGTAACAAGGCGACATAGCGTTGAAAATCACTCGGAAAATCAATATATTTATGACAAAAATATAAATCGAAAAATTCTTTAGGAAATAGAAACTAAGCAAAAAACGAAAAAAAGAAACGACCCCAGCAACCAATAGATCTAAATCCAGCTATTACTGATTTAGATATTATAGGGCTGTCACCTCGCAGTGTGCGATATAAAAAATATGACATCGAAATAAGATTTTGGTGTCTAATGGATAAGTAACAATTTGACATCGCAGAAATATCTGAATATTGCTATCACTAATAATTCAGATATCACTGGGATGTTGCAGCGTGAAATCGCAGTAATGACAACAATATGTCATCTCAGGGACATCTAGGTCCGGCTATGATTGATTTTGATATCTAAGGGGTGTCGCGGTGTGATATCGCAGTGATGTCGACGAATTTGTCTCAAGGACGAAGGGCATCTATTTTTACTCGCATTTTTAACGATATTGACATCCCTGAGATGTGGATGTTTGCCTAGTGTTGATTGGGTAACTGATTATGGAATAAACTAGAGGGAGTTTTATTTTAAAATCTAATGTTGGGGCCATTTCCGTCCAAACCGGAAGTACGGCAAAGCAATTAGATTTGTCAAAAAATGTCAATTGTACTATAATTCACAACCCCATAAATGTCGTTAATCTACTCACTGAATCGACAGTAAGCGTTTGCTCCCTCATTCAAGGAAACAATTATAGTTGTCAATTCACTCCCACACGGGAGCAAACAAATATTAACTTCCGTGGGAGATAAAATGAATTGGCTTCATCATGCATCCTTTGGCGTCGACATTGGCGTCGATATACTTATAAAATCTGTGCAGTCCAAGTAGGTAATCAGTGTCTTTATCACTATTATAAATCGAGTTACAATGATTTCCTGTTTGAATTCCAATGATATCATATACTATGCTTCTTCATATTCTGAAAATATTTCTATAATCAAAATTTCCAAATGCAGTTACACAATATACAATTCAATTAATCCATGATGGCAGAATAAGTGTCAAATTGACTTTCGTTCAGATGCTGTCAATTATCCAAGGCATACTATACCTTTGTAATGCATAATGATTTGGATCGAGAGGTAGACCGCCTGAAACACAATTTCAAGAATGATGTTTCAAAAGAATACGTTCGTTGATAAAACCATATCATGGGAGCAAATGGATATATACCTTTCCTCCCTTGATATATAAATAGCCATTCACTACCGTCAATATTAAAAAAGATAGGAGTGAGCCACCTTGAAAATCACCCTACAGTTCTTCAGAATTATGAAATGGAAATGGTATATTGTGCAACAAGTGAGAAAAGTGCTTTTTCCCCACATGTTGCACACTATACTTTTTCTACGCAACTGCACTTAATCAAAGAATCCGAGTAATGTAACTTATTGGTAAGTATTCATTTCATAATGTGAAACTAGGCCACATTCAATATTGTGACCAAAGAGTAGATGCCTTTCCTAGTTCCTCAAAGTAGTATTTAAAAAAAAAAACACTTTCCGAAAGAGATTTTATTTCTGTATTTTTTTAGATTCCATAAATTTTTCGTACCAATATGCCAATTCATACATTTTTCTTGAAATTTCCGGAAACAAATACAACTTTCGCAGCGTTATCCATTATCTCTGTCTCTGGCGGTGTATTTATCAAAATCGTCACATCTCGGTTTATACATCATATTATTTATTATGAACTGTTGGAACAATATTTGATGGAAAATGCGATTTCTATCAAAAGCACTGATGAGAACTACCCTAAAGAATTTAAAAAACTTGAAAATGTATGTGGTGTTGGCAAAGTGCCGCGAGAAAAAATATTTCTCACAGTATGGGCATTACATGGTTTTGAAACTAAGGAAGCTATGAGAAATGCGCTACTTAACATAGCAGTAGTAGAAAAAAATATATGTCAGTATTATAGTTATCTTATGTATATGAATTTGATCTGAATAAGTAGGTAAGAATCACTTTATGCCGTTTCACCATTCCCACTGTCTTCGTTATCCACCAATAAGTTTTCTCCTCCACCTTGATATTTGATGCTGTGATACATGAGAAATATGCCGCTTCTTATAGCAACTATTGACCACACCATAGAAATCACAGCGCTTCCTGATACCGGCATCATTGCTAAAAGAAAATATAAGCCAAATACACTCAGACATCAAAAGCCACGAAACTCGAGTCGAATAATTTTCATGATGTTATAGGGCATTTAAACATTAAAAAGAGAACACAAATCAAATAATACCGTATGGTACCGTCAAGTGGGGTAACTTCGGATGGTACTGATAAATTCGGACAAGACGTAAATTCAAATTGGATTGACTGCTATTCTTCCGTTTAGGATCTGAACACGTTTGGACGTCTGAGAATGGTCACTATATAATTCTACCTACTTGCATAAATAAGTGAAAATCGTTTGTTCCGATCTTGTGAGTTTTGGTTGTAAGGTAACTTTATTATATCATATGATTTGTAACATGTGTAGGTCTTTTATCTGAATTATACGAGTTCCCTTACAAATTTATTTCTATATATTGATGTATCAACAACATATATTGTCCAAATTTGAAGTTATTATTTTGATCCACAAACATGTTCTGAATTTTCATACATAAATTCGTAGGGTAATTTCGGACAACTAAGTATAGGTCATGGGCGCCACTGTAAGTGAGGTAAAAAATATATACCTATTATCTAAAATTGGCATGCCCCTGTCTTTCAATACACTCTATGTCCTTATTTCTTCAAAAATGATACCCAGTTTTCGGGGAGTTGGAGAGAGGTCCACACTTTTATTGGGCCATGACATGACATAGACCTAGTCTAGGCTACAGTGGTTTTAAGGCTAATCCCAGCCAACCATGAGATGTATAAGTGATGTATACGCCACATCACTTTGTGACATGCGATATCGCATTTGAAGTCACAAACATGTTACCGATACAACGTGGCGATGTGAAAATGTACGACTCAAGCAACATCACTGTGACGTCGTTCAGACATGGAATGCGACATCACATGAAAAATCACTACCAGGTCACATACAAGTGTACATTTCATATTACAAATGCATCACACTGCGACATCGATGATGTGGTCGCCGTACCTGTGATATTCGTGGGATATATAATAATAATTATTCAACTTTACGAAGAAAATGTTTATTTTCCGAAAGTAAAAACAGATGATACAAAACTTATCATGACAATCACCCTAATTAGTAATCTTGAAGTAAAACATGACACATATATATAGCAATACAAATATACATTATTCATAAATGATACATATCAAATACTTACATTATCTTGAGATCTTTCAGCCACCTTGTTTTAGATTGCAATATTCCTATCTCAGAGATAATTACAATATTACCTATTGTGATTGAACTCACCGTCGTTCCTAAATGATTGTATACCTCCAATTTGAAGCTGCTATGATATGTGCTATGAATCATCTCAGATATTTCAACAGAGAATTTGAAAGGAAATAGTCTGTACGGAGTCGGACTCAGACTCACTCACTGAATGACTGACTGACGTGGCCACGCACAGCTATCAACATGGCGTCTGGCGTGTGCGTTCGTTTTGCGCATGTCTGCGTCACACTCACAGCTCACAAAGATATCTCATGAGGATATCAATGTGAATTATTTAGTTAACGTCGAAGAGATGTAGTTTGAAGAAGTCGCTGCCACATTACATAGTTTCCTGGTTGCGATGCCACCTTGCGACGTTGATATCGAATCTACGTCGATAAGATGTGTTAACGAGATATTGCATTTATGCAAGGTTGTTACATCACACAGATGTTGATGTCACACGATGGTTGGCTGGGATTCCATCCAGTGACTCTATATTATCTAGGCGAGTTAAAATAGCCCTCTCGCTATCACTTGCACTAACATGCTACGGTCCAGTAAAGCCTATTTTACGCCCTTGATACATAAATAACTATTTTGGGAATTTTCGAGCAATCCAATTTTGTGGTATTCTACAAAAACCTCTAAATTATTCCGAAATTACCCCACTTTTGACGGTGCGCCTACCTTCCTACCTACTTAATTTGTTACTGTACAAATTTCAAACTTACGAATTTTGAGCATAATTTGAATGGTAGTGAAATATCCCAAACACAATAGACCTACGGTAGCCACCGAAATGCCGATATGGCAAATTTTCATCAAATCACTGGAATCATACCATTCTCGGAGTTTTCCTTTCCATTGTAGATAGTGAAGGAAACATGTCAATCCATCGGTAGTTCCTGAAATATAGACAACTTGTATTACATGCAAACTTGAATAAATATACATGATTCAATTATAAACTGGATTATAAATCATACACATCGTGCCCGGCTAGCTCAGTCGGTAGAGCATGAGACTCTTAATCTCAGGGTCGTGGGTTCGAGCCCCACGTTGGGCGATGCTTTTTTATCTCTTTTTTTAATTATGTTGGGGGTTAGTTATATTATCTTCTGTAGTCTATGGTTATATACTATTTTCAAGATTATGTGATATTTCATTATTAATTCACCCGAGAATTCACCTGATATCATCCCAAGAACACCAGAGGGATAATTATGCAAAATGAAGAACGTTATACATGCCGAATATCCAATAACACTTGAGATTCCGGCTATCGAAAGATTTATCATTGTTGCCATGATTATTATAGATATTCCTCGAGATATTCACCCTAAAAAATTCACGAACTAATTTTCTATAAAATCACTATGAGCACGGACTTTAGATACACTTTCAAAACAATCAAAATTTTGTAATATTGCAATATGGAAGATTCAAAACAAACAGAAACTGGGAATACCGATGACGAATCATGAATAATTCATGATAACAACAATAACATTGCAGCATTCGAGATTCGAGGTTTGATAGTATCTCACAGTTAAGATGGCTACAAGCTCACAGTCTAAGACATCAATCATCATGAAATGAGTGAAATTACCCTCTCGAATCGCTTAGAACGGAATTTCTTGTCATATATATTTGAGCCCACTGTTCATTTGTGCTTGCTCTACCTACTTTCTCTGTTTACATCATGCTAATAACAAGGACAGAGACAACTATGGGAGAAAAATTCACTTTAACAAGACCTTTAGTTCAGCAATACAAACGGCTAATGTTCCTGAACATGAAAACACGTCACCGCCAAGCCAAGGTACTCTAAAGAAAATTAATATGAAGGATGCTGAATAAATTTGATCGAAATGTGAAATACCGAAGAAAAGGAGAATTCTAAGAATTCTAAGCATCGTTTGTCGTTTGTTCTGTTCTGTGATTGGTTCTGTGGGCGAATCACATGTGTAACGTCACAACGTCAACAGTCAGCCGTTGACGGTGACACATCAATGACAGACTAAAGCCGAAATCGAAAAAGTTTCTTGATTCTTGTTTGGTTCTTCTCGTTATATTTATGTGTGAAATTTTGTGAAGATAATTTTGTGCATACTTTATTCAAAATGTTTGATCCAATGGCTAATGCACCTCCGCTTTGGAGTAACGGGCCTACCCCAGGTTCATTTTACAATTTTCCAGGACCTCAAACAAAGCCAAACGACCATTTCACACATTCACAGTAATATGCTAACCTTACTTTGACAATGAATTGCAATAATTTCAATTTTTTTTTCCTCATAGGTCTCCAGTGACGACCGCAACTTCAATAGTGGCCTTAGCATACGATAAGGGCATCATGATTGCAGGGGATCTCTTAGCTTCTTATGGATCCTTGGCACGTTATAGAAATTGCCCCAGAATCATGGAAGTTAATGACAACATTCTCCTAGGTGCTGGTGGTGATTATGCAGATTTTCAGTATGTCAAGTCGTTCATTGAACAGAAAATGTGAGTATTTCGATTTTTTCCTCAGTACCTATTAAACTCATGATAACTACCCTTTATAGACAGTGCCACGAATAGCGAAGATACAGATTATACACAATAGTGTGAACTAATCAAACTTTAATGAACTTTTTCACAAAATACAATCTGTCGTTTTTCTTTTTAACTGACAATTCCTTTTTTTTTCTTCCGTCAACCTGACATCCTACCCTCGTACACTTTACCGTTACCACTCATGGCATGAACATGATAATTTAATTGAGAATTATATTCCACATTGTACATAACATGATTGAAAAGTTTTGTAATGTTACAGAATTGATGAAGAATGTTTGGATGATGGCATCAAACTTAAACCAAAGTCTCTATATTGTTGGTTAACAAGAGTTATGTATCAAAGAAGGAATAAGTTTGATCCCTTGTGGAATAACCTTGTAATAGGTGGTATTCAGGTCAGTATCTGGATGATAACTTCTAGTAGTTTTATATTTTTATGTACTTGAAGTATAATTATTCTTTTTTCAGGATGGTACACCTTTCCTTGGTACAGTTGACAAGCTAGGGACAGCCTACACTGATAGGGCAATTTGCACAGGATATGGTGCTCATATTGCCCTACCAATGATCCGTGATGCTATAGAGAAGAAGGCACAACCCCTGACTCAGGCTGAAGCTCGTGCTCTCATTGAAAAGAGTTTGGAGGTACTTTTTTACCGAGATGCTAGAAGTTACCCTAAATATCAGCTGGGAATCATAGATCAGGATGAGGGTGTTAAAATTGAAGGTCCACTTTCTGTTAGCCAAAACTGGAATATTGCTACAATTATTAAATCAGTGTGAACTCTTCTTTTTTAATGTGAATGTGGGATTGTTTCAATCAAAATATATTATATTTAACAACTAGTTTCTGAAAAATCCATTCATCATGACCTCTTCATCATTCCAAAAGTTTCCTTTCTTATTAGGCTAATTAGGATAAAAACAAATTAAATATTTAATCATCTTTCAAATGCTTTTTGCAACCGGCCCATACTTTCGTCATTGATCTTTATCCAAATGTAGAAAACAGGATTCTGAATTGGTTGAACTAATTTTGAAAAACAGTTTTCCAAAATACATCTGTCATACCCATTTTCAAAGAAATAGGGTAAATTAGAGTCCCTGTATATAACTTAGACAAGAGTCCGGACACAGCTATACTTCTGTCCTTTTCTGTTTTCAAAAAATGCATTGATGATTGAATAAAGGAATAAGACATATATAACGAGCTCTGTCTTCTCAATTCCCCTAGTATCAATGATTGTCAGAAACCGTTTTGAGGGTTAGATTATTTGTCAAACCGTTCATAGCCGTAGGATGAAGTGAGAAATAGGGCTATTTTAACTAGAATAACTATTAGATTTTCGAATAATGAACAACAGGGTGTTCTAATTTCCAATCGATAATTCTCATAATCAATTCCTGAGTTGGCTATTGCAAATTTTTGTCATCAGATATTTCTTCCCTTCATTAGATATAAGAAAGATAATTCAAGTGTTCTACGTGGTATCACATAATTATAGTCAAGAAAATATAGTTGTTTTCTGTTGGGATATAAAAAAATAGAACATATTCAATTGTTTCAATATAATTTTCTCAGATTCTCTCAATTTAATAACACTCATCAGAAATAAAAGTGACAAAATCAAAACAAAAATATATTTGATAGCGAGTGCTTTATTAATTGTGTTTCCCACCTCTTCCTGCAATCTACATTCACCTGTACATTTAGAATTTGATCTGAATTAATAACACCGTGAACTGATGATATAGCACATTGCAGTTTCCCTGAATCTTCTAGTTTTGATTCGAGTTTTGATTTCAAACTTTCAATTTCTTTCCGCATCATCTCATTCTCATTTTCTTTCTCTGCGAACGTATCATTCAGTAATTCCCAATACGATGACGACGGGACTCTTTTTTTGAACGTCTCTATTTCATGAATTGACGGCACAGCAGACTCTTTCAATTTGAAATCCATCAGCTTGAAAAAATCTCTATCAAAATGGGCCTAAAATTCATCTTTCTTGTACTGTTTTTTCAAGTTAATTTGAATATTCACCTCACATATTGCGGATTTCTTGAAATCAACTTTCCATTCTGGACGTTTCATTGCATTCTTCCATGATATTATCTTTAAAGGATCATTCGAAGAATCGAATAACTTGAATCCCTTTTCTAATGAATTATCGCAATAATGTACGCAGCAGGACATTGGAATAATTCAAAATGCTAAATGTTGGCGGTCATAAAATTTCAAAGTGACAGTGACAGACATTCGGAATAATTTAAAAAAGCGGGCGAGACGACTATGGTGTTTCGTCACATTGTCAGGTGGGCAAACCAAATGAAACAAAATATTAAAAACCCCAACGGCTGTCAGTTTTGTGTCCGGACTCTTGTCTAAGGTATATACAGGGACTCTAGGGTAAATGTACCAGTAGTCGACCAGTTAACTTATATGATTGATTTGATTTCAACATGCAATAATAAATCTAAGAAATATTGTTATTATTTCGGGAATGCATTGATGATAATTTTTTCCTCTGTTAATTTTTAATTTTATATTATATTCAAGAATCATAATATAATAGACCTTGGTTACTATTGGCCATTGGCAGGTTTGGTAGTTTTGACAGACCTGCGTAGGTAGAACACAGAACAGATTAACCTTCTTCTTTTTTCTTTTCTTTCATTTGTTCATGGCCTTTGCATTCCTTGTTGCCGATAAGATAGGGTTCTTTTTGAAGTGGTTGTTACTTGTCTTGTCAATAGTCATTGTCAAAACTTGTTTTCTGAGAGTTCTGAGCTGAGATCCTGGAGAAGTGAGATCGAGATGTCATCTGTATAAGAAAATGGCTGAATTAAATATTTGTCTGTAGTGTCGTTAATTTTGTCATGTAAAGTATTATCGTGAAGTAAACTTGACTTCCTAGTGAGTTTTGAAAATAGTGTAGTTTTTCGTCAATGATAGCTCTAATTTAATAACTGGTAAGATATGTAATTTTTCTACAGAAAAACATTGTTTTTCAGGATACTGTGTCAATGCCTGTTTTCACCTTCCGCACCTTGATTAATAACATTTTTTCGGTTTATTTTTGCTGATTTCAACAAATGTCCATGCATGAAGATGTTCAATAATGTTTAAACTTTGTAGGCGAGTCATTATCCTCAATGTGTATGTTTTTGAAGGACAATCCTTATATGATATGACATTTATATTATGTTGCCTCAGGTCGTAGGTATACCAAAACACTGTCAATGCTATTGTTAATTGGGATAGGAATCTCTGAAATATTAATCATAATGAGATCAAACATTTCAAATGGATAAAGCTTGGGATAGAGGCTAGTAGTAGCCATGATGTTGGCTAAGAAGTTGCTAAGAACTAGAGTTCCTCTAAGAACTAAGAACAAGAACACATCCTGCTAAGATCAAGAAGTGAAAAAATGCCCACTCCTGTCAGCCTGTATACCTTCTTCTTTCCTCTCTGTTGCCTATATAATTAGGATACAGGGTAGTCCAGTAGGTCCAGTATTTTTTTTGTGGTACAACAGTGGACAATAATATTTATAGAATAATACTCCTTATAAACATTGGTCCTACACCTTTTTTTATCAGCTACAAGTTGTTGTAGTTCAGCAGTGAATCACATAGAAGCACAACAAAAATTCCAGATATTTTTTGACATACTACATATTTAGGTTGTTAATTTATTAATTGTATCATAGATATAAAAGAACATCCGATTTTGCAGAATGAAAGTAATATCATTGAAACTCTATAGGAAGCATACTGTAAAAAACAGAGAAACCCATAATCAATTAATCAAGATACCTAGTCCATTAAAAACACCCATTGAGATTACTTAATAATCATAATTATTATAAGATTCTGACATTTTCTAATCAATATAGATAGGTTTGTTCGTTTGTTATAAGAAATGTTTATTTCAGATAATTCATTGAAGTACTCTCATGAGTCTCAACCTGTATAAATAAAAAAGGTCTAGGATCTAGGAAGGTTTCTCAGGGGAGTATAAAATATTTTTTCCACCACTAGCTATAAAACATACCATTATTTACTCATTTTCGAGGCATAAAGTGTGTTTTTACTACCAAGTTAGACTTATGTGAAGTTAGCACCGACTTTCTTGAAAAACTGAATTTTTATCGGAGTTCTGGGTGGATACGATAGAGTTCTGGAGTTCCTGACGAAAAATTTCAATAGTTCTGGTTAGTTGTAGAAAATTAAATTACCGAAAAACAAAAGTGTGGGTGCTAACTTCACGCGGCGCCGCTTTCTTCACAGAAAAGAGTTCTGATGAGAAATTTCGACATATTTGAAAGAGTTCTGGAGTTCCTGATATATTTCAACGATAGTTCCAGCGAAATAACAAAGTTATTCCTATTTTTAATAGGGACATTCATACGCTCATGTAGCATCCACCACTTTCTTAAGTTTGGACCGGAGTTCTGGGTAGCACCAGTCGAGTTCCACATATTGTCTAGGTAACTTTTTTCTCTAAAATCGAAACTCTAGTTTTCATAAGCGGAAACGAAGGACTGATTGAAAAAAAGTGTTTTGTGAACGATTTGGAAAAGAGAGACAATAGAGGAGTTCTGATCGGAGTTCTGGGTAGCACCAGTCCAGTTCTACATACTATCTTGATAACTGTTTTCTCTAAAATCGAAACTTGAGTTTTTATAAGCAAAAACGAGGGACCGATTGAAAAAGAAATGTTTTGTGCAGGGTTGGCACGAATTAATTCATATGAATTAAGTCAGTGATTTAATTCGTGAATTAATTCAAATGACTTTTTTCAAATAAGTCGTGAATTAATTCAAAATTTATCAAATGGGAACCAATCGCATTATTACCTTCAATTTAAACTAGTTTAAAATGAAATATCCGATGGCATCAATTCTGACAACTAACAACCGTGATGCACCACACGCGAAAAACCAAATTTTCTGAGAGCTGCTTTACAGTTTACAATATTTCATTGCATGCAATTGATTGCTCCAATTCATATTTCCGGCAAAAATAATATGTAGGCTTTTCAACACTGAATCGGAATTACCGGCTTGCAATGTCTTTTTGTCATATATTCTGTGTATTATTATTATTATTATTACTTCTCACCGAGTTTTGAGTTGGGTCAAGAGTTGGGTAGAAGAAACCATGAGAAAGGCAAGAAAAGTAAGATTCAATGTGTATCTAATGATGCGTGAAATTCCGAAAATCTATTAACATGTCACCACTAGAATTGCACCAGTAATACAAATTACCACAATATAAATAAATATGTCCGGACTCTTTTCTTGCAATGCATCAAAAAATTGCTTTCCAAGGGATATTGCTGCATTTTATTGAAAATAACTGTAAAGCGCCTCTATAATGAAGATTGTAAATGAGTAATATAATTTCATTCAATCTAGTCTCAGTTTATATTGCAAAAATTGCATATTTTAAGTATTTTATTGTCATGAGATTTTTAATGGGAATAAAAACTTAGTTTTTTCGATGTTCTTGTATTTTGTTCAAGTAAATAGAATTTGATTTGTTCTCAAATGAATTAATTCAAAAAAGTCCGAATTAATTCAAAAAGTCAGACTTTTTTGACTTTTTTATAAAACTCATGACTTATTCCAACCCTGGTTTTGTGAAAGATTTGGAATGGAGAAAAAATAGAGAAGTTCTATCGGAGTTCTGGGTAGGTTCTGAAGTTTTGATTTTAGAGAAAAAACTTATCTAGGTAGCATGTAGAACTCGACTGGTACTACCCAGAACTCCGATCAGAACTTTTCTATTGTCTCTCCTTTCCAAATCGTTCACAAAACACTTTTTTTTTCAATCGGTCCCTCGTTTCCGCTTAAAAAAACTGAAGTTTCGATTTGAGAGAAATCAGTTATCAAGATAGTATGTAGAACTCGACTGGTGCTACCCAGAACTCCGATCAGAACTCCTCAATTGTCTCTCCTTTCCAAATTTTTCAAAAAACTTTTTTTTTCAGTCGGTCCCTTGTTTTCGCTCATGAAAACTCAAGTTCCGATTTTAGAGAAAAAAGTTACCTATAGTATGTGGAAATTGACTGGTGCTACCCAGAACTCCGATCAGAACTCCTCTATTGTCTCTCCTTTCCAAATCATTCACAAAACAAATTTTTTTCAATCAGTTTCTCTTTTGTGCTTATAAAAACTAAAGTTTTGATTTTAAAGAAAAAAATTATCAAGATAGTATCTAGAACTCGATTGGTGCTACCCAGAACTCCGATCAGAACTCCTCTATTGTCTCTCCTTTTCAAAATCTTTCACAAAACTCTTTTTTTCAATTGGTCCCTCTTTTCCACTTATAAAAACTAGTTTTGATTTTAGTAAAAAAATGTAAGAAGATAGTATGTGGAACACGACTGGCGCTACCCAGAACTCCGATCCGAACTTTAGAAAGTGGTGGATGCTACATGAGCGTATGGAATGTCCCTATTAAAAATAGGAATAACTTTGTTATTTCGCCGGAACTATCGTTGAAATATATCAGGAACTCTAGAACCCTTTCAAATACGTCGAAATTTCTCATCAGAACTCTTTTCTGTGAAAATAGCGGCGCCGCGTGAAGTTAGCACCCACAATTTTCTTTTTCGGTTATTTTCTACAATTAACCAGAACTATTGAAATTTTTCGTCAGGAACTCCAGAACTCTATCGTATCTACCCAGAACTCCAATAAAAATTCAGTTTTTCAAAAAAGTCGGTGACAACTTCACCTAAGTCCAAGTTAGTTGTCGTCATTTTATGAACCATTAGTCAATGAAGACATAGCCACCTCTGTTGTAATTAACCCAACTGCTCTGTTCTTATCAGATATTCACAGGAATGGCACTGGAATCTAGTAGGTATTTATCAATATCGACTTGTCATAATGCTGTGATGGTCATGGCCAAGTAAAATAAGGACTTTCCGGGACTTTCATAGTGACAATAGGTCCATATTTCGGTTTCACAGAACTAAAATGATTGAAATATATTGCTAGTGGTGGAAAAAAAGTGATAGAAACCTTGGTAGTAAAGAAAATCATTACTACATGACCTTTTACCCCTGGGCTGAACCCTCTAGATACAATCTCGGTCCCTGGATAATAATGATATTCTTTACTACCTTGGTGTATAAATAAACATTATAATAGGTGATGAGGTGCAGAAAAATTTGCCACAAGTGAGCATTTTTTTTGTTGACAGTTAACAGCCATTGCATTGAAAGATTTTTTTCTCTTTTCCACACATTATATGGCCAGCTGCATATTTTGAGGCTTTTTATGTACAGTCGTATTCAAAAAGGAAGCCAGTATATTGGAGGGAGAAATTCACGTCATCCTATTTGCGTAAAACGTGCTATCGGGAATGAATGTTTACCAAATGTTGACAGTAGAGTAATCATATAGGTTCTCAAACACACAAAGCATTGACTGAGCCAATTTTACTGAAAGCGTACAAGTATATTGGAGGGAGAAATTAACGTCATCCTATTTGCGTAAAACGGGCTATCGGCCATCGGGAATGAATGTTTACCAAATGTTGACAGTAGAGTAATCATATAGGTTCTCAAAAACACAAAGCATTGACTGAGCCAATTTTACTGAAAGCGTACAAGTATATTGGAGGGAGAAATTAACGTCATCCTATTTGCGTAAAACGGGCTATCGGGAATGAATGTTTACCAAATGTTGACAGTAGAGTAATCATATAGGTTCTCAAAAACACAAAGCATTGACTGAGCCAATTTTACTGAAAGCGTACAAGTATATTGGAGGGAGAAATTAACGTCATCCTATTTGCGTAAAACGGGCTATCGGGAATGAATGTTTACCAAATGTTGATAGTAGAGTACTCATATAGGTTCTGAAAAACACAAAGCATTGACTGAGCCAATTTTACTCAACGTGAACTAGAATGCCGAAGTCTTCTATGTTTAATACCTGTACGCTTTTTTATTGAATACGACTGTACCTAAGTACCGATCTAAGTATAGTCCATCCATAGATTAAGTCCATCCAAAGTCAATTGAAGCATCTTGAGAAAAAACATATAGGTACCCAACGCGATATTGCTTCTTTTGAAGTTCCTTTGAATTCCGTGCACGTGGCAGACATTGACAGATTGGGTTTTTTCAATTCAACATTTTTTCCTCGCCATGTATGATGAACATAAATTCATTATACAGTGTGTCCAGTTTTCGATGCTTTTGCGTGATATCTCAGTTATCTCTCGAGATAGAACCTTGTGGTTTTCGCGGTGCTGTACCACTTTTTTGTGAAACTCAAGACTTTTTTTTTCAGAGTATGGTTTTGGAGAAACGACTTAAACTTATGATTCTTCAAATGGAACACCCTGAATTTCATAAGCTCATTAAATTCCTTATTTTTTTCCCATGAAAATGAAATATGATGTGTGTTCAGCTATCTATAAGAGAATGTTTTTTTAATTTTTCAAACTAGTATTTATTATCTACCTACAAGTAGCAAAATTCCAGACATGATTACAAAATTGATTTATCCTTAAATTTCTCTCCACATACCTCAAATTGTAGAGAAACTGTATCAATAAATATCTCTACTATATACCTTCCATTTTATAACTCATTGGTCAAATTGAAATGATGAAATTCCTCGTGAAATTTCAATTGGTTCAAAACACATAAGTATGCATACAAAAGCAGCTAATAGATCCACAAATGCACAAAAAATTTTTACATCTTGTACATAAGTACATAGAATATTTTCATATCCTTCTATGTTGATGACTTTGATTCTTTATGATATAAATCGGTCTGTTCATACCTACCTAGTCAGTTCTTTCATATTTTAATTATGTTCTGTACTAATTATGTAGCACCTAGGCAAATAAAACACCTTATACTACCCTATATAAATAGAATACAGACTACTTAATGTTTTATGCACTTCAGCTGTTGCTTCTTACTGAGCTTCTGACTTAAATCTTCAATCAGAATTTCAGAAATAGCCTTACATTTTTACTTTATAATTCACTCAAGGTCTCCCAGGTCAATTAAATGGAAGTGTAGAATAGTTGTATACAGCGTGTCTCATTTCAAACGGCCCCCCTCTATATCTCAGCTATCAGTCGTTCGATCTTTACCTTTGTATCGGTATAAATAATCATCAATATGACCAGTTCTTCAAAGACAAACATCATTTTAGTAGTACAGTACTACACATAATATTGTTCTTCAAGGTTTCAAATCCACATATGTGGATTTTCTTAAGACGCCTATGAAGGGTTTCAGAAAAACAGGCACATCTTATCAGCATTTTCGCAAACGTAATAATTATTTACTTGGAAACGGCGAGTTCAACATAAAAAAGTATAACTCGTTTTGCCTTCTAAATCATGATTTTCCACCTACCGGAGCCATTGAACGTTCCAAAATTCGTAGTTGATTTGAAGTCACTATTTATTCAAGACTGAAAATGAAAAAAAATGAAGCCAATCCTGTTAAATCGGAATGAGGTGATTTTTTGCATATGGAGCTTCGAAAGCATGAGGAACAATAATATGAGGTTAGATTCCCTGTAAAAAAAATGCCTAATATGATTTCATGAAAAACCGACCCCTATTTAGTTCAATAAAAACGCACGGCACTGTCAAAAATAATGTACATCTCTGTAAGACTGATCATATTGATGGTTATTCATACCACACCAAATTTGGTTGGAATCGCATGACAAATAACTGAGATATATAGGGGGGGGGGGCGTTTAAAGTGAGACAAGCTGTATATTGATGATATTTAACATTGTATATTGATGATATTTAACATTTACCTTTCAATAGAAAATGAATAGATATTGGGAAAAAGGTGAAAAAATAATAGTTATTAAACTCTTACAATAATGTTCAGAGAAATGTAAAAAAGTTTTAAATAATTTATTTTTTATAATATAGGAATTAGGAGTTCAACTGTTGGTTGGTTGATCACATCATAAATTTTACTAGAATCACAATTTATGAGGTTTGGTTTTCCCTTGGTTTTCTATTTTTAGTTGTTGAAATATATGTATACGAGAATAATACTTATAATAACATGAAATAACGTTAGGTCAGTAACCTGAGAAGTGGCTTCTCATGAAGTGGTATGGCCATCTGCCTACTTGCTTGAAGAATATAAATAAAAACATATCATAATGCATTTTTCTTTATTTGATATTCATAATATATTCAAGGTGGAGCCAAAATGGCATACAGTCGCCCAACGGACCTGGATGGGTTCTACATCCACCTTGCTAAACCCGATACCAAATTGAGGCAGCAAGTGGGCGCAGACCTTTTGACATTTCTAGCAGAACCATTAAATTCCATTGCATGCCAGGATATAGGCTTGTTTGTCGACGGTCTGATACCATGGATGCAAAGCAGCAACTACAAGGTGAGAAATTGAGAATTTTTTTACCATGGTATGTAGGTACCTGGTGAACAACTAAGAACGGCTGTGTTTTTTGTGCGTTTTGATGATTATTTTTCGCAATAAAATTGTGGAGGCTGAGTTTGGCCAGAGAGTTTTATTCTAGTCCTCTAGTAGCATGGTCCCAGTTCACTGTGATCATTTGTTTACTGATTTAGGGTTTCAAGGATGTTTTTCCTTCCTCTCCAGACCCCGAGAGTTTCGTTAACCATTCTACAACATGGGTCCATAATGTATCACGTGATTCACTGTGGCCAATCTGACAAAGAGGTTTGAGAATAGTTCCAAAACTTTAGGCTCTCACCTGGCCAGCTCCTGGCATAGATTGAAAGTTAGATATGTTTTCACGTAGTTCTTAATGTCATTCCAACGTCATCTAATGACCTTGGCTACCGCGAATCCCAGCGTTGCCAGCCCAGCAACTCAAAATGTACTCAAAAATCACCGAAATTTTTTCGAGAAAAGTACTAGTCATTATCATCAGTCATATCACCTCCAGAAATTTGAGAAGAACACCAATTCCTACCTTATTTCTCTTGGTTCTCACGATGTTCTCTGAACATTACAGGATATCCCTTTTTGTGAGAACAAGAACATAAAAAAAACCGTCGATCGTCATTCTGCCATTCATTTGTACTCTCGTTTTTATTTATAATCATAACTTTGAGAAATGGTAAGACAATTGACAAATGACAATATACAATATTGACAGGTAACATAACATAGTACAGTAGTACAGATATGAGACAAAAAGACAAAACTCAAAAGTAAGCTTGGATGGAATACAATAATGACACTTCACTGATATTGTGCATTGAACTTTTCTTTGGTTCATTTTGGTAATGTCGATATTTCGATATATCCAGTCAAAACGTGGAAAACGTACGAATTTTGCGATCAGCGTACTAGAGTACTAGACAGAGTAAAAAGGTACTAGATCTAGTACGAAAGTGCTAGGTCTGACAACGCTGGCGAATCTCAAAAAGTCAAGTGCGCATTTATTCCACAAAGTGGCTCCTGGTTCATGTCACGCCCTCTAGAAAATTCATTGAAGTAGATAGCAAATTATGATTTCTCATGCCTAGTTTCGAAACTCATTTATCCATGTCCAAAAAAATGTCTTCTGTACTTTGGTTTATAATTACTATTTATTTGAAATTATAATCGAATAATAATTTCTAATTATTATTGATCCAATGCTATCATCGTTTGACGTAGGTAGGAGTTGAAAACCGGTGCGTTGTGCCTACGTCAATGTGTATTGTTTGTTTTGTCGTAGTCTGTCGTTTCAGTAGTCTTTTGTATTGGTGCACTCTTGATATATGGTGTGGGTGACCATAAATAGATCCAGACTATTTTCGAATTGACATCGTCTATTTTCCTCGTTGCTCGTATATTCTACCTAATAGAGAGGTTTTTGGTACTTATGTAATTATAATTATTTAATGGGGGAAGTTTCCTTCAGATGAATTTTCGTAAAATAAGTTCGGAACTCTCCAGTTTCATGTCCACGCTGTACTAATTTCCGGGGCGGCAAACTGTGACGTACATTCTGAATCTAGTCTGAAAATAGTTTATGGTGAAGAATACGTAAAACTGGTAAACAAAAACATACATAACCACAAATGCACTCGGAGCAGGAATGCAGAAGGTAGTTGGCTTCATACTGACAGGTTATGGTTTTGTTATTTCTGCATTGAAGTATCTCGAATAGAGCTCGATCCTAAACGAAAATATGATTGAATCAGTAAATCAATATCGGCTACATTCAATGAAACTATCCTTCCTAATTTACTGCCATCGGTCAGAAGAGAATGAAGCCGACACCCATGGCTTCTTCCTCTTGTTGTACCTGTCAGTATTTTGAGTGGTGTGGACGGACTCGAAGTATTAGGCGCTGTTGCAAGATATAATCTGCAATTCTCCTAGAAAATAGATCCGTTTTATTCAGGAACGAATTCATTAGCAACATCAACAATTGGATAACCAGATATATGGTTAGTTTGATTGCAAATGACCCCCTCTACCACCCCACTTTTTTCGATCCATGACCTATGGGACACTCATTATATGCATATATCTAGCTTCAAGTTCTTACATTTATTCCTTTTCATATAATTAATTATTTTCCGGTTGTAGCGGTTCTCACGTTCTTTTGTTTCAAAAGGTATAAAAACAAGAGCTCAGTACCTACTCGTCTCTTTATACTTATGTTGATATTATGTCTTGATAATTTATTCTTAGAATTAATGGCGTAGGCTTTCTCACAGACGAAAAATGTGAATAGGAAGTGGGTATAGTTGGTGTTGAGAAAATTAGGAATCATTCAAGGTCATTTCCTTTCACCAATCGTTAGAAGGAGAACATAATGGCGATTTGTGGGAAATTCATTATTTTCAAATTTCATTGAATTATTTTTGATTTAGTTCGGGCTCTGGACCTGAATTTGAAAAAAATTGAGCTCAATTCGTGCTGGTTGGTTAGGACAACGAACAACAATTTTTTTTTCGATGGTTGGGGTGTTAGTGAATATGTGCGACAAACTTCAAAAGTTGATTCCTTGTGATATTTTAGAAAATAAAGTTCATGTTAACATATTTTTGTTCTTTATTACGCCAAGAAATATGATAGGGATATATAAACATATGATATAACGAGTTATGTCAATATATCATAATAATTTGAATAAAATCATTCCAATTATTCAAATGAGACTAAATTGCTCCTTTTATAGTGTCATGAGTATATATTTCTTTCATATATGTCCCAACTTGCTTCGTTTTTGATTAACAGGATGTTGAAGTTGGAAGTATTAGTTGTTTTTATTTATCACTAGCCTGTAAAAGCTTACATGATGTCAGAATTCAGTATGCAGACAGATAGACAAAGTCCCAAAATTTCAAAATGATTCTTATTGAGGTTATTGAGTAATCTCTGAGAGCACCTACTTACATTTTGGATTCAAATGGAATTTTAATATTAGGAAGAATGACCCCCTGAAGTTTGACACCCTGTATATTAAAACCAGGTCGAGAAAATCAAATAAAAATCTTTAATAGAAACATTCTTCTGGAGTAATATATTTTTGAAAGCTTTTATTTAAACTTGCAATGAATTTAGTTCAGGTGGAATCTTTGAACTCAATTTTGATTTTTGGATGACAATGCACGATAAGTTGTGTGAAGTTATTCTAATAAAGAATAAATGGTGTGCTGATTCCGAATTGGAACAAAATTTGACAGAAATTCTCATATGTTTTGTTGATACTAATGTCCTCATTACAGTTTCATGAAAACTAGCTCTAGAACCAATAGTATATTGGAATGATAGTCATTTCATGTCAATGGCCATTTCCCACGAGAATTAAGTTTGCATCATGAGCCGTCATACGAGTGGGGAATTAGTATTCTGTGCCCGTTTTACTCTATACTTTCTCTACGGCTGAGATGACATTTATTGTGAAATAATAACAAAATGAATCAGATGAGAGAACGAAATTGAAGACAAATGTACCTCATTGATTTATCGAAAAAAGTAAAAGAGCGATTTTGTGCTATAGCAGTTGGAAAAATAATATTGCATTGCAGTTCTTATACAGAAGTAACTCTGTCTGTCATTCATAAATCTGATACGTTTCATTAATTTATGTGCACACTTGTTTTTAAATAGCTTGTGAAGGTTCAATAGGTGTTAACTGTTGTTAAATGTGTGACGTCATATTCATAAGACCAACATAGCTGTAAAGGAAGAGGTTGATGATAATTTAAATGAGCAAATATTTGCGATTCGCTTATCTTCTTATATGTATAGAAAATATCAGCTAAATGATTCGATCTGTCTATAGGCCTACTAGACTAGGAGAATTTCAATTTGTGCATGAGTTGATTATAATGATACTGATGATATTAGGTTAATCAAGGAGGTGCTATATTCATTCGTCCAGATTTTTTGAGGTTTCCTCCTCGTTTCTATAAAATAAAAATATTAGTATCATTTCAAAATTCGTGTAGCGAGAACAACATTTAAAAAAAAATCATTCGATTGTCAGTGACACTTTGTTTTGAATCATTTTCCAAAACGCAGTGACGTTTTGGTGCAAATCATCTGATTTTTCCTTACTACATATAATATCATATATATTTCATTGAAACGAGGAGAGAAAGAAGAGAAAGAAAAACATTTCAAGAATGTAAGTTCGTAGCGAGTTGAAAGTTGATCGAAATTTTCAAAACCTCGAAAATGCATCTGTTCGGTAACAAATTGCGCAAATGTTATAATTCAACCGACAGTTTTCGTATTTTTTTTTAATATTCAATTCTTGTAAACTAAGAACTAACAAAAAAGTATACGAAAATTTCAGGTCCGTTTTTAAACAAAAAAATGGCTGACTATTTATGGAAGGCGAAACGTCTAATTTCAAATTTGAATTTGAGAATTTTTTGTGTCGAAACTATTCATAATTGGGCAAAACGGTTATCAAGTCCCAATCTTAATTTTTCATGTACTACCAATTGATATTTAATTGAAATAGATACAGGGTGGTCAAAAATCTTAATTCGGAACCACCCTGTATTAATTTCAATCAAATATCAATTGATAGTGAATGAAATGTTGGGATTCGGACATGAAAACCGTTTTAACCAATTATAAATAGTTTCGACATGAAAAATTACTAAAGTTGAAAAATCTCGATTTTCACATCATATTACTCTGTGAATATTACTGCTAGACCCCAGGTGTTATAAGTCAATGGAATCAGCTCTTCAGGGAGGATCTGAAAATGGATTGATATAAATGGTGTCCTATTCAAAAATCAAAGTTGTAGCTACTTTTCAATATAAGCGGCAACGTCGCAACGCGGAGAATATTTTAGGTCGATGGAACACAACTAATTATCCGACTTTTCAAAATAATCCTGAGTTGCGTTCTCCAGAAACGTCTAGTGTGCCATCCGCCGTAAATCA